TCCTGTAAGAGCAGGGCGCGGTGGCGACTCCAGCCACACATTCCCCTCTCGGACGGGATTGGTGAAAAGTGCCTGGCCTGCGTGACGCTGCGGGTGGACTCAGTAGGCTGGCCTAACCCAGATCCCAGAGCCTGACGGTGGCCCGGAGGAGCGACTGACTCCCGTGTGGGCTGCCTCCTCCGCAACTCCCTGGTGCGCAGCGGTGGGCGGGAACATCTAGCCAGCGCAATTTGATCAGGCTGTGGCTGACAGGCAGGGAAGCCGGGCCTCCTATGTAAGCTTGCATTTTATAAGGAACAGAAAATATGGGGAAGGGAAGCAACAAGAAAGGCTCCTCGGCCCCCAATTCTGAGAAACAGGCAATAGTGGACACCGCACCAACATATATTAAGCGCCATATAGAGAGCCTCATAGACCAATTCAGGAATGAAGTTTTCAACGACCTGAAGCTAGAAGTATGCAGAATAGTTAGAGAAATGCTAAGCACCACCCAGGAAAAAACAGATGGTGGAATGGAAGAACAGAAAAAGAGGGGAGAATTGCTTGATGGAGAAAACAGAGAAAGCATTGAGTATGTGAAGCAGGTTCAAAGGGACTATCAAGAAATTAAGAAGTCTATCCAAGACTGGCATAACAGCTTGAAAGAAACTAAGGACAGACTATCTGAACTGGAGGGCAGACTTGTAATATGGGAGAATGAAATGAAAAACTTCTTAAAAATAACAAAGAAACAAACAGCAATAATACAAAGACAAGAAGATGATAAGAGGAGCCATAACTTAAGGATTAAGAACATAAAAGAAGAAGTAGGGACACAAACAAGTGAACTACAAAAGCTACTCACAGAAATAATCCAGGAGAATTTTCCTAATTTAGCAAAAGGTAAAGATACTCAGATGTATGAGGCATACAGGACCCCAGCTACCTACAACCCTAACAGAGAAACACCCAGGCATATAATAATAAAAATTCCAGAAATTCAATACAAGAACAGAATATTAAAAACTGTAAGAGACAAGAAACAGACCACTTACAAGGGAACACCCATCAGAATTACAGCAGATTTCTCTGCACAAACCATCAAATCACGAAGAGCATGGGGGGGGGGAAATAATTCACGCTTTGAAAGATAATAATCTCCAGCCAAGATTGAGATATCCTGCACAACTGTCCCTGGAAATTGATGGAAAAACGAGGTGCTTCCAGGATAAAGAGGAACTGGAGGAATTTGCAACCACCAATTCAACCCTACAGAAAGTATTGCAGGATATTCTAAAAAAAGAAAAATACAAAGAACCCAGAAATAGTGGCGGGGAGGCCACAACGAATGGAGCAGAGAACAAAATGAAGAAGACAAACTGACAGCTACTGACAGAAAAAGAGCTCAACAGAAATGAGGCAGAGAAGATTGGATGATAGGAACAGCTATTTTGGAGAAAATGACATCTTAATAGGTAATACTGATTTAGTACCATCTTGTTTTGAAGTCTCATCTAGCTTTTGTTCTTCTGTCTCCAATGGTCTAAACAGGTTGTATCTTATTGGATTTTATTATGTACGATAGTATAAGCAAAAACCTTTTAAAGACAAGGAGAATATACAGAAACCATTGTTCATTTTCTGTTAGTCGATTCTAAATACTCTATAATACTGTCATTCTCTTAAATGGTTTTACATTGTTTTGATATACTTAATGCTACAGTATACGAAGTTGTACTCAAGGACTTCAAGGAAAGAGTCTATATGGTAACTACTTTTGGGTCGGAATTATCTGGTGGTGAAACACTATTCTGCTTAAATGGTTATGTTTTGATCTGCCCTGTTTCGCTGTTATGCCCTCTTTTTTCTCAATCTCCACTCCATTATTTACTTTTTTATTTTTATCCGTTTAATTAAAGGGAAAAAAATAGCAGGATATCATATAGTAACCCACTTTGACTTTCTATTATCTCGATTTGAAGCCCTGTATTACTCTCACCATCTTGTTTTTGACTGAGGTTCCTCTATTCTGTTTTGCTGGATAGTATCAGGTTCGAAAGTTTAGGCATCAGCTGAGAAGATAATGAGATTCATTATAACGCCCATTCTCGTTGACTTTTATCTACTTTTGAAGACCTACAATATCTCCAATGTTTTGGTTTTGTCGGTTTTGTTCTTTACTGTTTTGTTCAATTGTATTACAACTAATAATATAGGCAATTCTATTAGAGATAGCAGGAGGCATTATGGTAACCATTGTTGATCACCTTGTATTATGTTTTTATATTATCTATTATGTCCACCCTTTTGACTTGACCGATTCTGTTCTGTTATGTCACATTTGGTTTTACTCTCTTCCAAAAAAGCAATAAGAACCGTGGGAGCAATGAAACCCAAAATGTGTAATAGTCATTGTACAAAAGAGAGGAAAAGAAAGTGCTCTAAACTATATAACTGCATGTATATTTAAGTGTATAAGATAGAAAATGATATCACAGAGTTTTATTGGATCATTGAACAGAACTGTTTGCAGTATCATTGTTGGAATGTCCACTCTACAAGCTTTAATTTTGTGACTTGAACAATTATTTCTAAGATGGCAATATGTAATCCATTAACTAGTGATTTCCTACTGTGCATTTTTTTCTTCTGTAAATCTGTATAACTTGTACCCCTTCACTGTTTTTTTTTTGTTTGTTTGTTTCTTTTCTCCTTAAACAAAAAAAAAAAAAAACCTGGCAAAAGTGGCAATCATACAACTTTTGTGGGGCTTAACCAGTGCAGTAGGTGTAGAAGACGAGTCTATGTAGCTAGCTTGTGAAGGAAAAAACAGACACCAGTGGTAGGTCGGTGGTGGAGGTGGCAGCAGGGATGTACAGAGCAGTGATGGCGAACCTTTCAGAGCTTCAATGGTAGCTGCAGATGAGCATCAGATTGGGCCAACAACAGGACAGACAGAACCAAGATGTGGTCCCACAGCTCTGGATGGTTTATAGGAGACTATGCAAGTTGCCTATTGACTGCTTTTTCTCAGTAAAGTAGGAAGGAAGGTCGTCTTTCATTGGGACCCAGGACTGGGAAGATGATGGAAAGTTAGAAAGAAAGGAGGGTAAAGTAAGAGTGTGGTAATGAACTTAAAGTGAGTCCACCTGTGGTGATTTGGTTCCTTTAGCCACACAGGTGGAGGCACAGAGAAGGCAAGGTTGCCTCAACCAAGTCTTGCTTTTGGTCAGACTGAGCTAGGCAGGGCAGGGAGGCAGTGAGAAAGCAAGGGCATGAAGGTAGTGACTGAGCATGCAGTTGGAGCAAGGTAGGGAAGTGAGGACGTCAAAAGTGGAGTGATAGGAGCTGAGGATTTAGCTCAGCGGCATACGCGCCTGCCTTGCAAGCAGGCAGTCGTGAGTTCGATCCCTGGTACCAATAAAAACGGAAAAAAAAAAAAGTGGAGTGACAGATGACTTCGCCTCTTTAAAGCTCTTTCCTATCTGAAAATCCTAGAAGGTTGTGGGGAGGCTTTTCTATGGGAACAGGAGCCAGTGTGAATATGCATTCAATGAGGGGGTTGTCAGCTGCTGCGGCTTGGGGACTTGTAAGAGTATTCAGTACTCAGGCCCAGAGCCCAGCCCAGAGTATTCGCAGGTGTGCCCTTTGCAGGCAACTCCAATGTGCTGGACCCAAATGCTGGCACAAGGGAGGGGAGGGAAAGGGGTGCAAAAGGAGCGAAAACATGTTATGTACTTGTACCAGTTCCACACAAGGAGTGGAAACATTATTATAGCAAACATATACTGGTAAAAAAGTTAAAAATAAATGAAAGCACCAACAGAACTGATCTTTAATGTACTGATTGTCTCACGTGTCAGGCAAGAGGACCATTATGGCCTCATTTAAGTCCCACACCACTTTAAAGAACCAGTGCCTGAAGTCACAGGAAGTGACAGAGCCCGATGATCCAGCTGGTCTCCTAGCCAATCCCTTCCCACTGTGAGCTTGCTATGCCAGTGATGGCTGAGGGCTGGGATGCTCGTGGAACTGCACCACAATTGGCATTTTACCAGGACCCGCAGAGGCACATGTGTGTTAGAGAAGCCCTAGTTAGGCCACACCAGCATTCCCTGCCATATCCCACCCTGGAGGAACTCGGACCAGTCGAGGCCTACTGACGAATAAAGGCAATGCTTAAAAATCCTTAAAATGCCAGTAACATCTAACTTTTAAGTATCAATTTAACTGAATTAGCCTTTTCTGATTTCAAACAGCTAATAAATACTACAAAAGATTATGTGGAAATGTTTTAGTTGTGAAATTACACTGAAAGTCTTTGAGGAGTCCCCTGTATTTTTTTTTTTTTTTTTATAAAACCAATAAACTAGCCAGAGGCTGGGGGTGTGGCTGGGTGGCAGGGTAGGAAGCGTGCCACGGACACTTTGTAAGGTGCTTTAAGGTCACTTGATCTTCTTGGAGTGATAGGATTATCCCAGGGATTCAGGAAAGTTGTCTAAGGTCATGACCAGTAATAGCAGTAGCTGGGATAAATTAAACAGTTTCATAACTTTTCTCATGCTTATTCACTACAGAATATAGGCAAACACCGTAAAGGATGGAGGAGAGCAGGGGCAGCGTGTGTGACTGGTTTTGGGGGACCTGGACTTGGGTAATCATTATTACTGTATGTGGGGACCCCTGGGTCTGTTACAAGTGTTATTTATTTAGTCTTTTTGAGACAGGGTTGCACTATGCAGTTCCGGCTGGCCTTGAGCTCCACTTTGTAGCTCAAGCTGGTCTCGAACTCACAACACTCCTCCTGCCTCAGCCTCCTGCGTATTGGGATTACAGGCAAATGCTACCATGCCTTGCTACAAAGCTTTATTCTTAAAAGACTTTATCAAGTTTTTAGTTGCTTTGTTTGCCACTGGAGAAGCATCAGTACTATGTTGAAATAACTTTTTCTGAGCAAAAAACCAAAATCATTGTGAACTGAACACTTATAATTTTAGGTGAAATAACACTGAAGGCTTAAGGACTGATTTAAGGGTGTTTATTTACAAGATACAAATGTTTAATATTTAACAGGAATTAAAGTGCTTAATTTTACAATGTTTCCCATTATCTGTCTTTATGACCAAATATACATATGTTACACAGTATATACACTATCTGCAAGTATTTTACATTCATTCAGCTAGGAAGAAAAATCATTGTGTACATCTTTCACATTAGAGTTGACTCATTCAGAGAACACATCTTTTCAAACTTAGTCAACAAATAAAAACAATCAAGATAATACTGATTTTTAATATCAGTCAATTGTCACTCACAAGATGAAATGCTAGTCCAGTTTTTTAAAAAAGCTTTCTATACAGATGATTGTTTGTTAATGACAGACGACCCCCCATGACACATTCCAATATCCATATACTATGTAATATATACTTTGATTCTGTAATAATGGTCCCCGCAGACTACTGATCTTTCTCAAACCTATATTTCACTCTATTTAGTTTTAACTTATTAAAATATACTAAGATTTTCCACCAAACCTACCACAATGAATTTTAGGCAGAGGGATAAGCTTTCTGGGACACAGCACCCCCACAGGTCACCTCCAGGCGGAAGACCAAGCGTGGCCAAGAGTTCAGAGGAGAGAGCCTAAGACCATGCCTGACTTCCCAGGGATGTGTTGCCTTAGCAAACAGCAGAGAAAATGGTCTAGAGAATGAACTGTTTTTTAAAAGCCCAAAGGAAAAAACAATGACACGATACTGCAGTCTAACTTAGAGGCCAAGGCCAGAGCCACGGCGTGATGGATCCCATCAGCATGCAAGGACAGGGCGCGCTTTTTACAGAGCACTCTTGAGCTGGACTTTCCTTCTACCAGCCATGGCTCTGAGCTGCAGAACAGCAGCAGTTTCTCATCTCCTTCCGCTTCACCCTACCTGATGAAAGCAAAGTCACCACCCCATGATAAAACAAGAGGAGGCTCCACGTAAAAGGATGAACTATACATTAAAAATCCATGTGAATAATTTATGTTAAAATACTTAAGTTAAAATTTTTTCTATAAAAATTTCATTCCTATGGAAGGAGAAAATTGAAAATCAACAATTTTTACATATGTACATACGGGTATAAATTCACAGAAAGGTTTATAAACAGACCTAGTGATCTCTGTATAGGTTCTCATTTTCTAAATCTAGAGAAGCTATAGAAAGACAGTACTTAGTACAAAAATAAAAAGTGGTTTGAGTCTAATAAAACTGGATATGAATGAAGAAGTAAGGTGATCTGCTTTAGATGTCATTAGAGCCCTAAGAATAGGAACTGGGTAGCCCCAGTTCTTATGCTGACACACACTGGGAAAATTCAAAATTTTAGAATGGAAACATAAAGATATTCTTGTGTTTCAGATTTTAGCAGGATAAAGTGCTTCATTGTTAGAGCACTACTATGAATATCATAAGACATGTAAATTTTCATAACACTACTCTGCATTATAACAGAGATACTTGCAAAAGAAAATTAGACCTTTGCTCCCAAGAAATATATTTGCGGCTGCTGATGCTATTCCTCCAGATACACATAATGTATAGAAAAGTCATGATTACAGATGCATCATAGACATTATGCTCAGAATAACTTAAGGCTCTGGATATAAACAAAGAAACTCTAAAATGTGAAAGAGGCAGAAAGCCCCACTGCCTCCACAAAGTAGAAATAAGAAAAAGATAGAAATGTGAACTTGCAGAAGTATTTGAGAAAAGGTTTTTTGAAGGCATCAGTGGCTCTTTAACAACCCTGCAGAACCAGGAAGTTTTAATGGTTTTCTTTATACTCTAACTAGAATAAGTAAACAAAATCCACAGGGAAAGTTGAAAGGGTAGCTCCTGTAAAAATTTGGTAATTTAAAAAGTTTGCCATAGGTCAGCCAACAATAGGTGCTAAATTAAACTTCACAGACAACAAAATGTAGCTGAAGAGTGCAAGTGTGCTTTGACTATCTGTACCCGTTGTCAAAGTAAAAATGCTTTTAATAGTATTTGAATAGGAATGATTCCCCCATCCCAATCCTCTTCCTTGTACTTAGCAGAATATATCATCACTTCTAGAAAGTTAATTCTCTATATGCTTGTGGGCAAAGGCTTCCATATTAAACTTTCAATATAAAAGCACACCAGCAAAGTGTTATTGCTTGTATGCACAATGGCATTGCAGATGGCATTATCACCGAAGTGTTTGGTGGCATTTTTCATTATTGAGCCCACTTACAACTGTGAGTTAAAAGTCTGCACCATGTCTAAATGGCAGATTTTCAACAAGAGCAAAACTTAAGCTTGAAAATTGAAATATTTCATAATGAGTAGCAGATTTATTTTTATTATTTTTTTTTTGTCTTTTTCGTTTTTATCGGTACCAGGGATCGAACTCACGACTGCCTGCTTACAAGGCAGGCGCTTATGCCGCTGAGCTAAATCCCCAGCCCCCATGAGTAGCAGATTTATCAAACAAGTATTTTTAAGCTTACAGGGCACTTTAAAAAAAGATGATTTGAGAAAGCACCGAATGAATCATAGATAATAATTAAGGCCCAAACAGAACATTGATTTTAATATACAAAAGCAACCAATGATTTTGTTTTTTTAGATGCAATTTGTCAGGACAGTTCAGGTGTCTTGGAGAGGAAAAACACTGGCTGCTAGTTGAGGTATTTTAGCTTACTTGAATGTTTAATAAGTGACCAGAGCATTCTTTTGCCTTCCTCCAAGTAAAACTATTAATGATTATTTAAAAGAGAAACGAGTAAGGCTGTTACTGCTGCTTCTCTTTGTGATTGACTAAAGAAAGTGGGGCAAAAAGTGAAGATGGTGACTGGACAGCCAGAAATCTTAGTATTTCCCGTCCTTAGTAAGTTAATGAAAGTCAATGTTAAGAGCACGGTAATAATATTCTCATTATAATATTCAATAGCCTAAGGCTGAATGTGCCCATGCTACAACTATTCCTGAACAACTTCTTGGTAGGGAAAGTCTAAATTCTTGCTGTTAAAAGTTTTCAAAAATAATTTAATTCAGAAATCCAATTGTCACATACATCCACCGTTCTGTACACAATTATGAAAGTCCTCATCTAATAATCAGCCTACATTTTTATTGCTTTTATTGTTAAAAAATAGCATCTATAGCTGTAGTTTTTCTCAATTATTACTCTGAACAACTATGCCTGACTATCTTTCTCTTCGTGACACTGACATACCGACACACACACACACACACACACACACACACACACACACACACACACGGCAGCTAGAAGAGAAAGCATTGTAAAATTTCTTTTAGCTTGGACTGATCTAATAGGGCATTAGAAGCTACCTTTTTCTCTTTTGTGGCTTTAAATATTTGGTTAAATGTTAATAATCACTGGCTGGTATTCCTGTCATGCAGGAAGGGAACCTAATTATAGCCACAATTGGTTCACTTGCTCCTCTGAACAAAACAAGAGTTATTTATTTTTTAAAGCCACAGGACCTGAATATGTGCAGGGCGGTCTCAGATTGAGTCAGTCTGTTCTCCCTGTAAGATGCAGTCCTTCAGGTCTGAGAGTGGTGGGGTCCTTCTTGTGGATTTCTGACTGTCTGGCGATAAAAAGTAGTCATGCATGCGGTATGTCACTGAAAGGTGAGAATCTAATTTGAGGAAAAAATGATTAAGTTAAATGATCAATGTGAAATTTTAATGGTCTTGGTGACAAAGAATCGTAATTTATCAAATTTCAGAGAATAAATCATGTGTACCTTCAGAAAATCTGCTATTAAAATAGTGCATCTATTGATAGACCTTGAACAATTTGTTGTTCTTATGGTTTGCACTAGGATGCTAAAGGAAAAATCCCTGCGCTTTCTGTCTGTCTATATGGCAGCCCAGATTGAATTGGGGAGTACACCTGTATGGTACAGAAGTTTAGTGCTCTTAATTGAGAAAAATGTTAATGCAAAAAACCCCCAAATAAATAAAATACTGCTTTTTTTCTAATGTTTTCCCTTTCCTTTTCTGGTGAAATGGCAGAGCATAAACTTCCTTTACTACATATCAGCCAAACCCTGCTCCCAAGTACAGGTCAGGGTGTGTGAATTTTAACTCATATCTCACAAAAGAATAGGCCCACACAGTTATCAGGAGCATTCATTATAGATAGTTCTCATCTCACCATGCCTAACAGTCTTATGGAAAAGGAAAACATTGTAATCAATGTAGTTTCCACATGTCCCAGTCCATGTAAGGTCAGGTGTCTTATAATATGGTTCAGGTTTTGGTAAAGATTTTTGTACATGCTGATGTTAACTACTGCAATGATTATAATAATTATAAAGGATAATAAAATAACCCGTATGCATTTGACTAACCCAGTGATCAAAATGCATTTTAATTTCAAAATAATCAAGACAGAAATACTAACTGAACCCTCACCCTTATATTTAAACAGCTATTAATAGCACCTTCTAAGAGAGGCACTGTTTTAAATAGGCACAGAAAAAAAATAGTACTCTAAAAATACTGTTGGAATTCACTAATATATTCCATGCCACATAAATTACTGTTTTTTTCTTATTATAAAAATATCAATAGCCTTAGATACCAATCCGTTAAATGTAAATCACCAGAAACATTTAAATTTAGAACACTGCTCAGTTCCAAGATAAAACATGCTTTAAAGTTAAAAAATAAATTAGAGATGATGTGAACTTAAGCTGAGAGAAAAGCATGTATAGTATATATGTTCATATTTAATACTATATACAGATAATTGTTATGTACTTTAGATATTGTATTCTTAGGACTATTTCTACAAAAAGAAGTATCTCTTTTTTTAATAAGTCAAAAGTCTGAACACAATTTGTCCTTTTTCTCATTGTAAAAGGACACTATTTATGCAGCTTGAGGTTTATAAACTAAATAAGTCAATACAGTTCCCTAGCCTGTCCCTGTATTTTTTACCATGGATCTATTTTGGCAACACAGAGGTATATCTTTCATACAGATCCTACATAGGAAGGAGACACAATGAAGGATTTCCTTAATGAAAGTGGCCCATTCTACCTGTTAGTGATATAATCAACACCATTTTCTTCAAGACAAATAGTACACGTTCAAGGAGGAGCTGATTAAAAAATCTCTATTTTTCACATTACTTCAAAACTTTATCAGGAGAATGGCTGTGCACATTGATTTTCTCAAGAATACACAAACAGGAAAACAGTCCCCAGCAGATGCATTCATGAGCCTGGATTTTCAACATAAAGTGCTACGAGATGAGTGAGGTGAGCTGGGAATGTCTGAGCTGTGTGTCTTTCGTGGTGAGTTCAGCACTCAGGTTTATTCTTAGGTCCAGGGGGATCATCCAAGCTGGTGGGCTGCTCATCTGGACCATCCGGGGTCTCACCTGTGACAGCTAACAGGATAATTTTCAGCCACTTCTGCTTCAGTTCCTCACTGTCTGCAGCAAAGCTGTGCACAGACTTGGACTGGGTCAGTTTGAAGCTGTGTGGCAGGTCTGCACTCCTCGGCATGTTGTCCACAAGGTAGCCCAGCAGTGGAATGGTAGCCTGGGCTCTGACATCCTAGGCAGAGAACACTGTGTATCAGAACATGAGACGTGTTGGCTTCGCTCATACACAACCTCTCTTCCTCCTCTGCGCTCCACCATGAGTTCTCAGGCAGAGGATGATGCCAACCCTTGCTCATATGGCCCACCGTAAAGCTGGCTGCAGGATCAGAGAAGGAGGGCTGAAATCCAGAAGAAAGGGGAAGAAAGTAACAGCCAGCTCACTGTTTAAAGCTGGCAATCAGGTCTTACTTCGGCAGCACATGTATTTAAAGCCAGCGAGTATCTGTGAGGAATGAAAATGCTATTTTGCTTGGTGATCCATTCATTTATCGACTTAGTTATGGACAAGGGAAGGGTTAGAGAAAACAAAGCAGAATGAAATTCATAGACCTTGGTAATTTTGTCTGTTTCTACAAGAACTAGCTTTAAAGTAGATGTAACAGACATGTTTAAAATATTTACTGTTTCTAAGGTGAATGCATATGTGGTTGACAGGTGATCTGTTTTTTAAAAGTGTTGCATACTTGGTGCTTGATCTTACTGGAAGCTAAGCCTGTTTAACAGACTGTCCCCACAGATCTAACTCAGATGACATAGTTAAAGAATTCAAGACTGACTTAAATCCACCTTCCATTCAAATTGCTGTTCAAATATTCATCCACTGAGCACCAAACAAAAACAAAAAACTGTTCTAATGTTTCTAGCTTTAACAACTCCTCCTCATGCTTCTTTCCTAACTCAACTCACCTTTCCTCAAACTCACTGAACAGGAATGAGAAAAAAGAAGCAAATACTCCACAAGGTTAAAAAAAAAAGTTACTATAAGATCATCTAACATATATAGCATATACGATAGATTTGATTTTAGTCATTATTTTTCAATTGTAATGAGACACAGTGACACTGCCTGAGACCTTTTGTTCTACAAAGGAACAATGAAAAGATTTTTATCTTACTGTTGACAAGCCCGCCCTCTGTTCCCCGCCCCCCAAGGACTAGCTGTTTAGCTACCTGGGGGGCCCCGTACATGTACAGCACAAGAGGGTCTTGCTTGGGAATCACACACCAAGCTTTCTGCCAAGGTTTTGACTTCTCCATGTATTGAAGAAAGCTGCACACTACACTGTTTCCTGATACTTCTGCTGATTCGATCTAGAAAAAATGGAAAAGAGAATAAATACACAACAAACCAGATAGGGCAGTTAACCAACTTAAGAGAAATAGCCCTTAAGTACATATAAAATACAATATATTTATATAAAATACATACATTGAATTGTCTAAAAAAGATTCACTTGCAATTACTGTTTTAAATTCTTATAGTTTGGATCTAGAATGTCACCTCCAAAGTTTTATGTGTTCAGAGGTGGAGCCTGATTGAAGACCTAAGCTTTTCTCCAAGCTTCCTCTTCACAGCTGTGAGGGGTGAGCAGCTCCCTCTGCCACTTCCTCCCACCATGCTGCTTTTGCCTTGGAGCTAATCAACCATGAACTGAATCCTCTAAAACCTGTGAGCTGAAATAAACCTGTCCTTTAGATTTCAGGTGGGGTGTTAGGTATTCTGTCCTGGCAAGAGGTAGGCTGACTTATATACTCTTTCACTAACATGGAAAAGTATTTTAAGTCAACTTTAACTCTTCGTATTACTAGACTTTGAATTTAAGTCATTAAAACGTTTACTGATTGCTAATTATGTAAGTACTTTTCTTTGCTTCATACATGTATTATTTAATATGTCAACACTGAGAAGTTAAATTTATCCCTGAAGCTGAGTTTTTTTTTGTCTTTTTTGTATTTATCGGTACCAGGGATTGAACTCACGACTGCCTGCTTGCAAGGCAGGCACTTATGCCACTGAGCTAAATCCCCAGCCCCCTGAAGCTGAGTTTTTAGTAGCTTTCGAAACACACATTTTTAATGAAAAAATGAAACAAATTTTCATAACCAAGTGAGAGATCAAACAAGCCATTACACTGTGTACTGTTATTATCAAAGTAGTTATTTAGTATGAGACATAAAACAAAAAGATTCTTACAAAAAGAAACAGACTGTAGGGAGCCATTGAAGCAAAAGATTGATCACATGGGTGGAGTGAAAGCAAGGCCAGCCCAGAAAAAACAGAGAAACCAAAACTAGCTCCCAAAAGGCAAGGAGCCGAGGCCAGCCAGGCAAACAAGTTGCTAGGCAGTGGGACTGAAATTGACCTTCTTCTTTGGGAGTGTATGGAGTATATAAATAAACATTTATAGTGGTTGAGTAGTACTTTTCCTCCTCCACCTGATTCCAGCTTTGTTTCTTATTTTCTCATCCTCTGTCAGTTCTTCACCCCAAGAATCTCAAGAGCCACATGGGTCATGGCAACAAACAAAGATTAACGGTATAAATGAAGCAAATTAGCATATATGTTGAAGTATTTCTAAAACAATGGAATATATAATTTGAGGAATTATGTTAATTTCTCCCTACTTTCTATTTCTGCCTTCTACTTTGCTGTGTGTAGTTTCTCATATAAAAGAAACCACGTGGTATTTGAGCTGTGTGTCTAACTTATTTCACTAACATTATGTTCATTTACCTATGAATGCCACACATTTATCTTTATGGTTGACTAGTACTCCACTGTGTATAAATATATTTTCCTTATCTGTTCATCTGTTTCTGGGTATATATGCTATTTCCAAATCTACTTATTATAAATTATGCTGCTATAAACATAAACATGCATGTACTCCTGTAATATGATGATATTTTGTTTGGGAAGATACCTAGGAGGATAATAGCTGGTTCAAATGGAATTTCTACTTTTAATTATTTGGGAAACCTCACACTGATTTTCACATGGTTGTATTACTTTATATCCCCACCAACAATGTAGTAGAGTTTCATTCCTCCCACATCCTCACCAGCCTTTGTTACTACTAGATTTCTTGAGGATGGCCATTCTTTCTGGGTAAGAGGGTATCTCAATGTAGTTTTAATTTGCAGTTCTCTGATAGCCAGTGATGATGCACATTTTTTATGCATTTATTGGCTGTTTGTACTTCTTCTTCTGAGATATGACTTGCCTTGATTACTTTTCTTTCACTGTTGAGACAAAATACCTGATGCCAAATGTGAACAAGAAAAGCTTTACTTAGCTTACAGTTTTTAGAAGTTTCAGTACATACTCAGTTGGTTCCAAGGCAGGGTGGTGTGGCTGAGCAGCTGCTGTTCATGGGGGCTGCAAACAACAAGAACTGAAGGGCTACAGGGTACAGGGTACTGGGGTGGGTAGCCAGCACACTATATAAGGGAGGGAAGGAGGCATGCTTTTCCCTCTCTTGCCCTTTCGTTCTTGTTGAATGGCTACCCCTCAGCCATGCCACCCTGGTTGGAGTCCAGGCAATGTGTGTTATGGCTTGGCAGAAAGTTTGTCTGCATTTTGCTCATGTCTAGAGAATTTACCTGCAACTAAAATTAAGGGTGGTGGAAGATTAATCTGGCAGAAGAAATTTCAAGGCAGTTGAATGTTGAGGTGGTGGCATGGCTATTGCTGGGGGCTTTTAGCCAGATTTATATTGCAAATCAAGAGCAAAGAGTCCAGCAGGATGATTTAAAATGTGTTTGGCCAGAAAGCTGTGGACTACAAAGAGAGAACTGAGACCTCAATTGCTGAGAAGGAACAGAGAGATAAAAAAGATGGCCTGGGGACGTTCTGGGAAGTAGTGGGTCTCTACTTTGCAGCCTCAGAACTGCAAAAATGAAAGATTTTGCTCAAAGGAAAAAGCTGCAGAGCACCCTGTTTCAGAATGGTGCCAGAGGTCACAGGAGGTTCCAAAATGGCAGCAGCCACACCAGGTTCCAGAATGGTGGTGACATACAGCATCTGTTTCTCACCAGGCATTCAACTCCTTCAGCCAAAAGAGAGAAAAGCTTGGCTACTGCTGCAACTGGCAGCAGACTTGGTGGCATCCACATGGCGCTGGTTTTAGGCAAGTGGAGAATGCACGAGTTCTGAGGTGAAGGCAGCTTCCACTTCAATTTCAGAAGGCCTGGGAGGCCAGGCAGTGTGCCCCTGAGAGGGCAGTGTGTAAAGCTATGTGAAGCCAAAGGTGCAATGGAGAACTCAGAAGTTAAAAAGTCCAGGAATGTGGATTGTCTAAGGAAAGCTGCAAGTATTGAGCAGAGTGGGTTTAAGACAGAAGTCTTGAGGGCTAAAATCTCTGTAAGTGTCGTGGAGGTGGAGTCACTTAAGCCTTTGGAACTCACAACCAGATTGCTTCAGATGCTGAGCATGGACTTCCAGGACTTATTATTTGTCCCACTGGATTTTGGACTTCCTTTGGTCCCATTCCTTTGTATCCCTGTTTGTACCCTTTGGAATGGTAATGTTTATCTTGTGCCATTGAATGTTGGGAGTATTTAACTTTGCTTTCATTTTACAGGGGGTTACAGCTAAGAGTTTGCCTTAGATCTAGGTGGAGACTTGGGACTTGAACTTTCAGCAATGCTGAAACTGTTATGACTTTAGCAACATTTGGAGATGGACTAAATGTCTTTTGCAGAAAGGATGTACGTGAATCTTTGTGGGGCCAGGGGTGGAATGTTGTGGTTGTATAAATTGCCCCCAAAGCCTCATTCAGTCATGGTGGCAACAGTGTAGCATTTGTGATTGGCACATTGTCTAGCAGCGTGGGATTGGTGATATGAATGCCACACTTACCCAGGGGCAGGTAACCAGCATACAATATAAGGGAGGGAAAGAGGCATGCTTTCCCTAATTTTTGCCCTTTCACTCTTGTCATTGGTGGCTGCCATGAAGGCTGCCCCTTAGCTATGTCTCCCTGCCTTGGAGCCAGCTGAGTGTGGACCGAAACCTCCTAAAGCTGTAAGTTAAGTTAAGAAAAGCTTTACTTTGGGCATCAGGTATTTTGTCTCAACAATGAGAGAAAAGTAACCAAGACAACTGTTTGTTTTGGTTACCTGTTTTCTGAATGGGTCTCTATTTTGGGGGGAGAGATTAATTATTTTTGAGTTCTTTATATATTCTAGATGTCAGTGCTCTGTCTATGGAATACCTGGAAATTTTTATTTTATGTTTTTCATTCTTTAGAGTGTCTCCTAGCTCTGTTGATTATTTTCTTTACTGTGCAGAAGATTTTTAAACTGTTATAATCCCATCTGTTGATTGTCACCATTATTTCTTGTGCCATTGGGGTTCTATTCAGAAAATTCTTGCTTATATCTTGCTTCATGTCTTCAAGAGTTTTACCTGTTTTATCTTCCACAGATTGTTTCTGTTTTAACATTTAGATCTTGACCCACTTGAACTTTAGTTTAGCACATGGTGAAATATGGGTGTATACTCATGTGTACACTCATGTGGATATCCAATTTTCCCAGCATCATTTTTTGAAGAGGCTACCTTTTCTTCCAGTACATGTTTTTCTTTTCTTTTTTTTTGTACCAGGAACTAAGGACCTTGTGCTTGCCAGGCAGGTGCTTAGGCCACTGAGCTATATCCCCTTCTGCCGAAGATCAAACAGCTGTATGTGTCTGGGGTTGTTTTGCTGCTTTGGTTCTGTTCCACTGATCCACATGCTTGTTTTCCTGCCAGTACCATGCTGTTTTAATCACTGTAGTTTTTACAGTACGCAGTAACTTCAAGTCTGGGATTGTGATGCTAACTACTTTGCTTTTGTTACTGACAATTGCTTTTGCTATTCTGAATCTCTTTCAATTCCATGTAAATTTAAGGATTGTTTTCCAGTTCTGTGGTATTTTGATTATGACTACATTACATCTGTACATCAGTTTTAAAAGTATAGCCATTTTGATGATGTTGCTTTTCCCCTTTCCAGGTTCAGGGAATATTTTTCCATATTTTGATGTCCTCCTCAGTTTCCTTTTTCAGTCTGATGTAAATTTCATTGTAGAGTCTTTCATTTCCTTAGGTTAATATCTTAGGTTAAGTATTTAATTTTTTTGATGCCATTGTGAATAGTACTATTTTCCTAATTGCTTTCTCAGTGAGTTCATTATTAGTGTATAAGAATGCTATTTTGTGTGTTTATTTTGAATCCCGCTACACTGCTGAGTTTGGTTTTCAATTCTAGGAGTCTTCTGGTGGAGTTTTTTAGGTCTTCTAAGTAAAGATCATGTCATCTGCAAAT